CTCCTCCCCAACCGCCCCCGCCAAGTGCCAACAGGAAGCGGAAGTTAAGAATGCGTGTGTAAGAATCCCGGCTGCCACTTAGCAACGCGAGGAGGTCAGGTGATACAACCAGCTGACTCCCGTAGAGGAGGTCCCTGTGGCTGTGGGTGTTGCAGCCACGATAGCCCGGCCCAGACTCGAACCGAACTATCATCGTCAGAATGTCGGGCAAAGACCGAATTGAAATCTTTCCCTCGCGAATGTAAGTAAAAGAACGGGTCGAGCAGCATTCATAGGTTCATGAACGCCTGTTCGGAGCAGCGACCCCTCCATACCCTGGACTAGCAGGGAGGTTCATTGTTTCCTGGGTAGATCCTGAGCTCACCCCGTCCCTTTTCGTGAGTCTGAGACGACGCTTCCTGATGACCCCCTCACATATTCCTTTGAGGGAACCAGACTGGAAAGATCCCAAGCCGTAGCAACAGTCTGTCCGAACTGCTGGTTTTTATGGAGGTCCGCAGTCTTTATTCATTAATCGAGCCATTCGTTCCATATTCCCTTATTGAGCTGGGCACTGGGTTTATAGAACTATGAATCGTCGCCAGTTTTGCCTTAGAGAGCTTACAGTTTAGCGGAGAGATGGACAGGCCAGCGAGGTTTCATAAATACTTTGAGAAGGGAAGTTTACTGTGGTACGCACATAGAAGAGGTTTCTAGGCCAAATTGGGGGTTGAATCGAATTGCACTAGCGTGGACGTCAGATTCGATCTTGGATCCCTTTTCTCATTTTCTAAGATCCCATGAAATGTCACCTGCGGCTGGAAGATATCCCTGAGTTTCCCAGGCACTCTTTTTTTGCTTCATCACCATTGCCCCTCGTTCAGACCTCTGTTAATACCACCCATCACACTGTAAAGTGGATATTTGTTTACATATCTTTCCCCCTGGACTGTGAGCTTTCTCCAGGAGAAGAGTGTCTTAATAATTAATCAATAGAAAGTCTACAAAAAATGTTCCTTGAGTGAACCTATGCCTTGGAATCTGCCCAGTTGTGGCCTGCCTTTCTCTTTTGTCTGAATTCTTTGGCAGGAGAAAAAGCCCTAAGTGTTTGAACAGTTGTAAAAGGTTTTGTAGTTTTCTCAAATGTGCCTAACAATGTGTGGAAAGTATAGATTGTTATTTTCTCTCTCTTCTTCCACTTCCTTTTGTCTTGTTTGTTTGTTTTTTCCAGCAAGGAGCAGGAAATCAGGTTTGCCTCTGACATTTAGATCTTTAGATTGTGGTCCTATTTCTTTGGGGGTGTTCTGTTCTTTTTCTTCATCTTGATCTTTTTCTTAGAGAATCTGAGAATGCTTAAAATAAGAGAATTATATTCAAACTCACTCCTAGATTTCTTTCCAGGGTGGCTGCAGTTCTTAATGAAATGAAAGCGTTTGGGGATTTTGTTATTTTTTACCTTTACCTGCTGATTTTCTAGTAGATATTTGTATTAAGTGGGAAGCAAGCCCATTGTGGAGAAAGGCACTGCCTGTAAAATAGGTCAGGATCAAGGCTACTTTGAAGTAGTGAGATCTGCAGAACTCCCAGTACTTGAGTTTGAGTCTTACCAAATGTCTGTGCTGAGAGACCACCAAATTCTAGCATAGCCTAAGGCCATCAACATGGCTGCCTGAGAAAGCTCAGTGCTTCCAGGAGAATTTATTGTTTGTTCTATCCAATACTTTTTTTTTCTTTTCTTCTTCTTTTTTTTTTTTTTTTTTTTAGAGAGACAGAGAGCAAGAGGGGGAGGGGCAGAGAGAGAGGGAGACACAGAACCCAAAGCAGATTCCAGGCTCTGAGCGGCCAGCACAGAGCCTGATGCGGGTCTCGAACTCATGCACTGCAAGATAATGACCCAAGCCAAAGTCAGACGCTTAACCAACTGAGCCACCCAGATGCCACTTGACAATAGGCTCCTGACTTCCCTTCCTTAAGGCATTCAGTAAAAGTAGCTTACAATTATGAATCCTTTCTTTTCTTTTTGAGATGTATATGTCTATTCTACAACTTAGAAGTCCCTTTCTCAAGGACCTGAAAGCCATTTCTTTGAAACATAGATATTAGGAAGGATAGGGCCTCTGTCTGCCAGTCTCTGTGGGAGGATAGAATCCTAACTTCATGATTGCCAGCTAGTAGACACAGCTTGCCTAAAGTCATTTTTACTGACTAACCCTTGGTAATTTTTCAGTTCTGTGACCCTTCTTGAGGCTGCTCTTAGTCCTCTCCCTTATTCCTTTGAAATACCCAACCACTTCTGCACAAATCAGAATGGAGCTCAGCTCTTTCTCCCACTGTTAGTGGTTACTGAACAAATTCTGTTTTCACCATTTTAATGTCTGGCTGTGTTTATCTTTGATAGTAGTCAGAATGTTAGCATTTTTGTTTTGTTTTTACTTTGAGACTAAAGTGAAAATAAACTTCTTTGGGCTTATACAGGAAGACTAATAGGTTCCAAAAGGTGAAAACTGCTATTTAAGAGCACTCAGCTTGCTGATTGAGAGGAAAATCAGGTGCAGGAAGTAACTGCTTCTCTAAATATTTTCCGTAAGGCTTAGCAGTGGGTATTTTGTCATGCGGTCAGATGCGTTTGATTCAGCTGAAAACAGTCATCATTCTAGATGAAGGTCATACATTTTTCCTATGGTCAAGTGGCTCTGAAACTTATAAAAGAATATGTGTTTTAAGAGCTAGGATAGAAAATACTTTCGTGACTTCTGTGTCAGATACTTGCATCTTATAGGTTTTATGACATACTGGCTGTAAGTCCTTGGGCAAGTCACTCTTCAAATCTCAAGAATTAAAATTTGTCTGTTTCACAGAAGTGCCATTAGCTGCGAGGAAATTAAAATTAGCATGGTAAATTCAGTTTTATCAACCAGATTATCTTTTTTACAATAAACTTGCTGGAATCTGCAGTACTGGGATTTGACTTAAATTTGATCCAGCCAGGGGCGCCTGGGTGGCGCAGTCGGTTAAGCGTCCGACTTCAGCCAGGTCACGATCTCGCGGTCCGGGAGTTCGAGCCCCGCGTCAGGCTCTGGGCTGATGGCTCGGAGCCTGGAGCCTGTTTCCGATTCTGTGTCTCCCTCTCTCTCTGCCCCTCCCCCGTTCATGCTCTGTCTCTCTCTGTCCCAAAAATAAATAAAAAACGTTGAAAAAAAAATTAAAAAAAAAAATTTGATCCAGCCCTTCGAGCTCAAATTCTGGTCCTTAGTGTCAACAATATGATATGTTAAATGTACACATTGGGGAGGATAGCTCCAGCTCAGGCTGGAAACTGAACCAGCTTTGCTTAGACCTTCAGTGAGGCCAGTCAGTACAAAGTCAGCCACTGATAGTTTTCAAAGAGAGAACTGTTCATCTGATGCTGTTTCTTTTTTTTTTTTTTTAATTTTTTTTAACATTTATTTTTGAGAGAGAGAGTCGAGAAGGGGCAGAGAGAGAGAGAGGGAGACAGAATCTGAAGCAGGCTCCAAGCTGTCAGCACAGAGCCTGATGCGGGGCTCGAACCCATGAACCGTGAGGTGAGACCATGACCTGAGCCGAAGTCTGGCGGCTCTCAACCTACTGAGACACGCAGGCATCCCCCGCCCCGTCTGATGCTGTTTCTTTTTTTTTTTTTTAATTTTTTTTTTTTCAACGTTTTTATTTATTTTTGGGACAGAGAGAGACAGAGCATGAACGGGGGAGGGGCAGAGAGAGAGGGAGACACAGAATTGGAAACAGGCTCCAGGCTCTGAGCCATCAGCCCAGAGCCCGACGCGGGGCTCGAACTCACAGACTGCGAGATCGTGACCTGGCTGAAGTCGGACGCTTAACCGACTGCGCCACCCAGGCGCCCCTGATGCTGTTTCTAATAGGCAGCGTGGCATGTGGTTGGGATACAGTGGGACTAGGTTTGAGCCTTGATTTGAGCCTTGGACAAGGCACTGGAGTCAGAAATCTGTTTCAGTCTGTTTATTTTTTTCACCTAGAGTGAGAAAGTGTTTCGTTTTTCTAAGTCTCATTTTCAAGATAATGTTTAAAGTTTCTTCCAGCTATAGAATTATCTCAGTAACGTTTCCCCTATGGTAAAAGAGTAAAATCTAGGAATTTACCCAAAAGTCCATTAATACATGATACTTTGCAGTTTGTTACAACACTGGTAATATGAAATTATATCCCCTTATACAAATCATTTTATCAACATTATACAACATATTGTTAAATTGTATTACCCACTTTTTTTAAAAATTAAATTTTATCTGGCATAGGGTAGGAAGGACAGAAATGTCAATTTCTGCTATTACTTTCTTGACTTGTATTGGGATTTCTGATAGGAAAAGATTGGAATAAGGAGGTAAGGAGACTTCAGTAGTTTGCCACTTCTCAGAAGTCTTATATGTGTCATTGTTTCCTAGAATCATTTATAAATTAATAAAATGATTGTTGGTAGGATTTTGACTGATGATATGAAAACATTAGTGCCACACTTTTAATAGAAAAAGTAATAAATGGTTGTGGTATAAAACTCAAAAGGTTCAAAGGAATATAAATATAATAGTAAAAAGTAATCCATTTTTTTTCATTCAGTCCCATTTCCCAAAGGAAACTTATCAGTTTCTGTGAATCTTTTCTAGAACTATTCTCTGTATCAAAATAAGCATATTTATCCCTTATTTTGTATGAGTAAGAGAATATAAAATAGGGAGCATATGTAGATCTACCTTCCTCTTATTTTTTTTTATGACTGCATAACATTCCCTTGGAAGAACGATGATTTATGGGACACTAATATCCACCCTTTTGCTATTACATATAAGGCTGGAGTACTCATCCTTAACCTTGTGTATATTTTTGTGTATATGTGGGAGTAAATCTGTAGGATAAATTCCTCAAAGTGGAATTGTTGGTCCTGAGGTAAGTGCATTTCAAATTATGAAATTTTTAGTGGACAGATTTTTTTTTAAATGCTTAATACATGTGTAATGGAAACACAGATATTATTTTAACTTACAAATCAAATTAATATTTTAACTATGGTGGCATTATAAGATAGAACTCCTGATAAATTTTATCATAATTTAATAACTAATTCCAGATATTGGTTAAAGAATTGTTTCTGTTTTAAATAAATGAACTTCTTATTTATGGAATGCTGAGGGTGGAAATCTACAGTATTGAGAAACCAATTAATTGTAACTGTCAGCACAAGTGCTATATATTCTTATTCTCATGACATCAAAGAATGAAGCATGATTTTAACACTGTATTGGGGAGATATTTGTATGTCTTTTAAACAGTGTGAATATATGTCTCTAATTTTGTTTGTGTAGGGCACAGACCATCATGAAGGCTCGATTAAAAGGAGCACAGACAGGTCGAAACCTCCTGAAGAAAAAATCTGATGCCTTAACTCTTCGATTTCGACAGATCCTAAAGAAGATAATAGAGGTAGAATGAACTGTTGTTAGAACAGTTATTTTAGAGGTATCTAAGGAAAATCTAGCATGGCTATTGGCATTTAAATTTTTCTTTAAGTTATTTTAATTTAAAATTTTGTCTTTTTATTATTTAAAAAAATTTTTTTTGTGTGTTTATTTATTTTTGAGAGAGAGAGACACAGTGTGAGCAGGGGAGGGGCAGAGAGAGAGGGAGACAGAACTGAAGCAGGCTCCAGGCTTTGAGCTGTCCACGCAGAGCCCGACGCGGGGCTCGAACCCACGAACCGTGAGATCATGACCTGAGCTGAAGTCGGGACACCCAACTGACTGAGCCACCAGCTGCCCCTAATTTTTTTTCTCTCAAAAGTGAAAATACCATTATCACTGTAACAAGTTTCAGATTACTTAATAAAATTCAAACTCATTACTCTTGCCTGCAAAGCCCCACTTGATCCCATCTGGCCCCTGCCTGCCTCTCTGATCTCATTTGGAACATTCTCCCTACCATCTTCCTCCAGGACCTTTTCAGTAGCTGTTTCTTCTGCCTGAAATGTTCTTTCCTCAGAACTTCTTGTGATTTGCTCCTCTGGCCATTCTGGTCTCTTCAGAGAGGCCATCCCTCATTACCTAATCAGAAGTGACCACCATATTTACTTCTGTCACATTTCCTTATTTTAGTTGTAGTATGTATTACTGCATATTTTCTTGTTTGGTTGGTTAGTTCCTTGAGAGCAGAGACTTTCTTGTCCCTAGAACAGTGCTGGCCCATAGTATGTTTCAGTTCATTGCTTTTTGGGTAATTGCTATGTGAATATGGAAGTATATTTAAAAAGTGAAAGTTACTCCTCTTCCCCTACCTAACTACCCTTGTTTCATTTCCCAGAGGAGTTCTTCATGACACTGATTTTTAGTCTTTCAGCCTCCCTGTCTGTCTTTCATGATGTTTTTAGCAACAGACATGCAATTGTTATATAATTCAATAACGTTTCCTGGCTGCTCCCCCTGGCAGAGTTTGGACAGCTATCTACATCAGTGCATAGATTTTCCTTTTTCTTTATAGCAGCTGCATGGTACTCCATTGAATGGACAATGGAATTTAGCCGTTTTCCTGTTGATGAATGTGTAGTTTTACTATTTTGTGGGGGAGGGTACTCTTAAATCCTTTTGTGTATGTGTAAGAGTACTGACGACACTGACTCCATCTTTGGCCCTGCATCTTGTTCATGCCTGCACTATGACTTGGGGGCTATGTGTTCCAGGCTCCATGGAGGTTAATGTTTGCCGTAACCAGAATGTGGGAAGGCTTGTCCTGATCTTTCCTAAAGTGGCCCACAGAGGGCGCCACTTTAGGTAACTAGTAGAGATGGCTGGCACACAGAAGGTGCCACTTTAGGTAAGTAGTAGAGGTGGTTGGAGAGCTGCTCGAGGTAACTAATGGCGTGGTTGGTGCACAGAAGGTGCCACTTTAGGTAATTATCCTGTAACCACTCCACCATGCCCCTTGCTCTATAAAAGCAGGGGATTATGGGCCAGGCTTGGCGGACAGTAGCTTTTTGGGTTGTTAGGCTTCCTGATCCCCCCCAGTCGGTAAGTTACTGTGAGTAAAAGGGTGTAACCGGTTCTGAGAGGCTTGCATTGTTTTTCTGAGTGCCTTCTCAGTGTCCCTCCTCCATCTTCTACCAGCCTGCAAGCCAGCCAGGAAACTGAAAGTGAAGCTAGCCTGGTCTAGGGGCCAGGGGTGGGGGGAGCCTAAGCTGGCTAGCCACCGCCACGTGGGGAGACTTGGCTGGGTGTGTGAGTGCGGGGGTGCCCTGAAAATGGCCAAGGGGTTGGTGTATAGCCTGCCTGAAACGGGAGAGGGGGAGAAAAGGAGAAGGGAGAGTGGAATAGCAGTTGTGGCGGTGGCTTGGCAGTTGGTCTGTGTGTTGTGAGGTGCCATGGAGGGAGAGTTGGGAGTAGAGAGGGATTTGGAACGGACCGGAGAGGTGGCATTGGCTTTGTAAGAGGATGTGGGAGCAGCACGTTCTTCCCCTAGGGTTGTTCTGTCCGGAGGAATCCAGCAGCGGGGTTGGGGGGGTGGGGCACTTGGGAATGATGGCCGTTGGTGGCAGGCGGAGGAGGGTGAGTGCCCACTACCTCGCACTAAAGGGAGAACTGTGAGGTCTCAGGAGAGTTGGCGTCCTGAGGCCTGCAATCCCTGGGGTAATGGCTCTGATGAGGAGGATGTTTTCCTAGAGGGGGAAGATGATTTATAGGCATGCCCTTTGGTTGGAACAGAGCCCCAGGCTGCTTGTTTGCCTGAGGATGAGCAGAAGAAATTCCCATGCTCAGGAAACGACTGTGAGGGAATATTCTGCCCCTGACGTAGTAGAGCCAGTCAGCCACTTTAAGAAGGAGGGCCGAAAAAGGGGTGGCAGCTTGAGTGTTGGGACTGTGGGATACTGGGGAAGATGGTGTTCTGGTGGAGGTTTGGGACGTCAAAAATGGCCTCAGTCCCTGCTCAACCTGCCTTGTGACAAATACATGCCACAATCCTAGGTGAGAATCATGGGCACTTAGCTAATTTGACTGGATAAATGCTAGTATTCAGATAACTTGGCCTAACTGAAGCCTGTCTCTGGCTTGCAGATGGCTGTGTCCTCACATGGTTTTTCCTCTGTGGTGTCTGTGTGTTGTAATGTTCTTATTAAAAGGACGTCAGATTGAATTAGATTCCAGCCTAAAGGCCTCATTTTAACCGGGGTTAGGACTTCAACATATACTTCATGGGGACCCAATTCAGCTTTAATTATATGTGTATATATTCTATATATAGTAATGAATAAACAAATTAGAGAATAAATAACACGTTACATACCAGTGTGCTGAACTTGTGACTGTGACGGTGAGCCAACCATTAATAAAAACTGAAATATAATGGGAATTAAAAAAAAAAACTTGGCCTAGCAAAGGGATATTCCCTGATCTCTATGCAAGAACTACAAGAAATTATACATGAACTGGGAATGAAACCTGCCATTTATGCCTAGCATTTTAGAGGCCTCAACAAAGAATTATTTTTCTCTGGTATTGAAGACCTTATATTACAGTCAGCCCCAGGGGCATGATATGGGACTTAGTATCTGTTCTTGTCCCTTTGGTTAATCAACCCATTTGCTATAGTAGCTACTATGGTGGCTGACTTAAGTCAAACCAGAAGAATCTGTCATAAGGGAAATAGGTTGAAAAATGGGAAAACAAAAGGTCCTGCCAATGATAAAATGGCAGAGAGGGGGTCCATCAAGGTCTCTCAAAAATTATTGCCAAGATCTAATTTTATATAGGTCCCGGAGAGAAAATCTACACAACCCAGTTTGGTCTTGGTAAGCCTATGGAAGACATTGCTTAAGGGAAAGCAGTTTATTCCCTTGGAGGAAAGCTCAAGAAAACCAGGTGTGTTCCCCAGAGCACCTCTGCTAACAGGAATTTTGGGAGTGGATACACCTTACCCCTAGAGACTAGGGATTATGCTAACATTGCTTGCAGTAGGGGGCAAACAGAGGCTGCATGTTGAATTAACCATTTATTGGTCTTGCACTTACAGACTACCAGCTCTAATAGACACTGGAGCTGAATGCACACTTACGGAAACCCCTTGAAATTTGGGGGAAAAGTAAAGGCAGTAGATATTTATGTGGGGCAGATTATCAAAGTTCTGCAAACTAGTCTTTACTTACAGATTGCAGACTTCCTGCCTGTTGTTTTCTAGTGCATATCTCCCACATTTCTGAGTATTTTGGGCATAAATGTTCTGCAGGATCTGAATCTAACAACGACAGGTGGATTCAGGTGTGTATCCAAGTAGTGAAACTTGTTGTGGGTCATGGCAAAATGCGCACCTATACAGCTGCTGGTTTCTAAAGAGTAATAAACATAAAATGATATGAGCTACTTATTAGGGGGGGCATGATGAGATTATTGCCACCATTAAAGAATTAGAAAAGGTGGAGGTAATCAGGCCTGCTCAAAGCCCATTCAGTAGTTGGTTTGGCCTATAATGAAATTTAACGGGACCTGGCAAATGACAGTAGATTATAGGGAACTCAGTAAAATTACTCTGCTCATCCATGCCATGATACCTAATACAGCCTTATTGTTAGGGGAAATCATGGCATCCATTAAGACTTATTATTACCTGCTAGACTTGTCTAATGCCTTTTCCAGCATTCATTAGGATGTGAATCCCATGACCAATTTCCCTTCGTGTGGAACCCGAGTGACCTTCCAGGTGTTGCCCAAGGGTATCTCCTTAGTCCCTCTGTTTGTCACAGGATGGTAGCCAGAGATTTGGAAAAATGAATATTTTCAGAAGAGATGGTGCTTTATCATCATGTCAGTGTTATGTTAACTTATGATTTATCCTCCTGTCTCAAGCAGCCACCTCATTCCAGGTGTGAAGTCTTGAGGGTGAGAGGTAAATACCAACAAATCCAAAGACTGGGTTAATCAGTAAAGTTCCCGGGCATCATCAGTTTGTGTAAGACCAGTGATGCCACAGATGGTCATTGATAAAATGTAAATCTTCCTAGTCCCTAAAATGGTAAAGGAATTATAGGCTTTTTGTTGGTTTACTGGGTTACTGAAGACTACTTATTGCCTGTCTAGTGATAGGGCAGACATTAAGACCTTTTATATGCCTTGGTTAGGAGGGGAAGCTAATGAGATTGGGGTGCAAACCAACAAGAGGCTATCCTAAAAAATGACAGTAAAACAAGTACAGACCTTGGAGATATTAATGCCAGCTGTGACTTGTGAATTAGATGTAAATTCATGTCTAGAAGGGTTTGGTTGGGGCTTGTGGGATGGATGAAATGGGAAACGGATCCTGTTAGGATTCTGTGGCTTCAATTATGGAAGGAAACAGAAGCCAGGTAGAATCCCGTGGAAGCACAGGTATTAGTTATATATCTTGCACTGCAGCAGATGGAAGGCCTGAGTGCTGATTTGCCTGTGATGGTACGAACCTCTCTGCTGGTAGGAGGATGAACTAAGGACAGACATGTTCAGCAAACCTAAGAGTGCCTGTGCCCAGGTAAGCACCTTACAGAAATGGCATGCTTATCTACAGAGGAGGAACCTCCTCTCTCATGAGCTGCACCTGGTACTAGGGCTGGTCACTTAAATTGACCCTGCCCAACTTCAGAATTGTCTGACTTTATGCTTCCTCCCCGCCCCCAGTAAGGGAAGAGGTAGGCTCATCTCCAGCAGGTGCATAGTATACTGATGGCTGTTGCTGGGGAAACTTGCCTATTTGGCATTCCTCTGCCATCCAGCTGGATTCTGATGTACTTTCGTTTGAAGGAACTAATCAAAGTCAGTGGGCAGAATTGAAAATGGTATGGATTGTGTTGACACATGAGCCAGTGCCCATCAATTTGGCTGCTGACAGCTGGGCAGTGTTGTAAAGGTTGACAACATAGATGCAATGATGGCACAAAGAAGGCTGGGCTATATTAAATAGACCCCTGTGGAAAGTAGAACTGTGAGAAGATGTTTGGGTAGTATGCTCTAAGCCCAGTGCAGCCATCGAACAGCCATCCAAGTATGGCATATGTCCCTGCTCACTCCCCATCCACACTACCAGGCAATCCTGAGGCAAATGTTCTAGTCTGGGTATGAGCCCTTCAGCTGGAGAAAATGCTGACCCTGTCTGATGTAGCAGAATGGGTCCATCATAAATCAGGACACTGAGGTCCCAAAAGTACCTGAGAAATGAGATTACATTTTTCTGTAAAATATTCAGTCTACAAGCTGCTGACAAGAACTGCCCCCAGTGCCATCTCAAGCGATGGACCTTATGCCACACCCTGGGGTGTATTGGGTGGACTATAAACTCTGTTTCTCACTGGCAGATCTATTACATAAGCCCTTTGCCAGTATTGGGAGGGCACAAATATGTACAGACCTGTGTGGACACTTGCACAGGACTTGTACAAGCCTTAGCCTATAAAAAGAGCTAATCAGGCTGCAACTGTAACAGATTAATAAAACTGGAGAGCATGTACAAACACCCCCCTACTCAGTGATCAAGGGACACATTTTACTGGCCATGATATCCAAAAATGGGCAGAGACCTGGGTATATTATGGACTTCCCACCTGCCATACAGCCTCACTGTTGCAGGCCTAATTGAAAGGATGAATGGGCTAATAGCACATTTTTTTAAAAAAAAAATTTTTTTTTTCAACGTTTATTTATTTTTGGGACAGAGAGAGAGCATGAACAGGGGAGGGGCAGAGAGAGGGAGACATAGAATCGGAAACAGGCTCCAGGCTCTGAGCCATCAGCCCAGAGCCTGACGCGGGGCTCGAACTCACGGACCGCGAGATCGTGACCTGGCTGAAGCCGGACGCTTAACCGACTGCGCCACCCAGGCGCCCCTGGGCTAATAGCACATTAAAGACTTTATCACGGGTGGATCCCTGAAAGGATGGTCTCCAAGACTAACCAGCAATTCATCTCCTTAAAGCTATGCCCATAGCAAGACAGACATCTACATATGAACACCTCACCAGCAACACCCATGCGGTTTGCAGCTCTTGTGCAGGTGTTATCTGGAGACCCATGGTCTGTTGGGGGAGGAGGGCCTCCTTTTGTGATTGCTACAAGACCTCCCACGTGGTAAGACTTTAGTTCATTGGAAATAAACTTGGAATGTCTCCTCCGGGTGGCTTGGTATCCTAATCCCTTGGGGCCACAGCCTCCCATCCAGTAGTATTCTTAACCCTTTATTATGCATTGGTCAGGGCCCAGCACATGCAAATAACTGCTTCTGAATTTCTGATGCTTGGTATTGAGGTAGGGTTGTTAGTGCAAACCGAAATGCTCCTGTACAATATAGGTACACCCTTTGATGATACTAAGGGGCAAAATACATGGGGTCTTTTCCCAGGGAAAATACCTAAGCCAGGGGTGTTCTTAGCTCATGGGGCCCAAACCACTACCCTGTTGTTTGTGAATGAAGATTTGCCACACCTGTTGCCTGTAAAACATTTCTTACTGCCCTTAACCTTGCATCGTTAATGTTTCTATTGTGTCTGGAAACGTCTTCTTGTCATAGGCCACCACTTACGCTGAAGTTGACAATTGCTCTGACTGCTGAGTCTGCAGAAAGCGTTGCTGGGAAATTGTAGTTCTAAGTATTTTCTTTGGTCGTACAGATCTGTTGTTGCTGCTGTGGTATAGAGATGCAAGTCCCCTCCCAATACCTGTCCGTAGGGTCATTGTGGAAGAATGGTGTGTAAAGGTTATACGGGCCATAAAGATGTTGAGGGTAGAGTGTAGTAATGCTGACAGCACTGACTCCCATTTGTCAGTGCTCCATCTTGTTCGTGCTGCGCAATGACTTCGCTTGGCAACTGGTAGAGATGGCTGGTGCACAGAGGGTATCACTTTAGGTAACTCCCTTGTGATCTCCCCACCATACCCCCCACCCCCTCTATAAAAGCTGGGGGTTTATGATCCAGACTTGGCAGAGATAGCCGCATAGCTGCCTGGATTGTTGGTCCCTTCCTGCATAAAACTGTAAATGGTCTGCAGTGCCTTGCGTTGGGTTTCGGTCTCAGAGTGTCGTCTTAGCCTGGAAGATGCTCGACTGTCCCTTCTCCACCTTCTGACAGTATATGTACTGGCATTTCTCTGGAAAATCTTAGAATCTCAAGGATCTATTCATTTAAATTTTTGATGGATAACTGTCAAATTGTTTTCCAAGTTGTTATACTAATTTACATTCCTGTCAAATGATTATGAGAGCACCTATTCTCTCAAATTCATCATAACTGGGTATTAGTAATCTTTTTTATTTGTTGCCAATCTATGGGACTAAAATTGGTATCTTTTAATTTGCACTACTTTTGATTGTCAGGTTGAGCATCTTTTCATGTTTACTGGTAATTTGATTTTCTTGGTGAATATCTTTTTGTAGAAGTTCTACAATAGTCTGGTTAGTGTGTAAAATGCCAAAAATATTTTCTCCTAGCCTTTTTAAAAAATATTTCTTGTTTGGTGAAGTCTTTTTTTCCTTTTTAACATAGTACTTGGGTTATACATAATGCTTAGAAAGGCCCTTTTAAAAAGATTAAGAAAATATTCTATGCTTTATAGTTTTTTTTGAAACTAATGACTTCTGGAGAGAGAGAGAGAGAGTGTGTGTGTGTGTGTGTGTGTGTGTG